GAGCTTTGTAGTTCCACGACTTCCTCCTCGACCGATCTCATCCCAATTGTCCGGCTTCCGGGATCTCAGCCGAAGGGCGCGGGGAGGTGAGGAAAGCGGCAACCTAGCGGTGGGGGACACAGTGAGTGCCTTGTGCCCTGACGATGATCAGTGGTACCCGGGCGCCATCGACAAGATCAATGATGACGGCACCTTCAGTGTAAAGTGGGATGACCCAGACGGAGGGCCAGAGACCCACGATGTTGGCGCTGATGGAATCAAGAAAATTGTGATCTTCAAGGACTACAAGGTTGGCGAAAGGGTGGAGGCAGTCTTTCCAGACGATGGCTACTGGTACCCAGGTGAGGTGACAAAAGTGGGCGATGGTACCTTCACAGTGAAATGGGACGACCCAGATGGCGGCCCAGAAGAATCAGAGCTCGAAGCCAAGGAGATTAAGTACCCTCCAATCCCGTTTGAACAGCTCGAAGTTGGCCAGAAATATACAGGCGGGGCTTGATGATATGGTGGAATTAATTTTGGTTCCAGAATCTAGAAGGTTGTAAGTAGAGATTGCCTTTTTAACTAGAGTTACTGGGTTGACTTAATCTATTTTCAATTTCTGTTTTTCTATTTGTCAATTGAAAGGCTCCTCATGTTTTTAGGTTTACTTCCATTTTCATGGAGATGAACCTGAGCAGGCACGGTTGCATCAGTCTTGGACTTTGGAGCGTTCGTTGACATTGGTGCCGAAGGTCAGGGCTTACTGCACATCTCACGCATCTCTCAGGAGCGAGTCGAGAACATTTACGACGTTCTGTCAGAGGGGCAGCAGGCTGGGGATGTACATATTTCACTGTTTGAGTAGCATGCATTGTGCCAGGCTTGGGTGCGCATGTGTCACAACTTTTACAATTCCGCAAGGCTCCTGACATCAATAGGAGAGATGACATGAGAGACTTTTTTCTTCCTTTGTAACCTTTTTGTGAGCTACAGGTGGATGTGTGGATTTCCGGCAAGAGGGAAGACGAGGGCAAGTTTGGTGTCACCATGGTGGAAGGCCTGACAGATGGAGGACCACGAAGAAAAATGGATGATTTGACGCCTTTCGCAGACCTGTCGTCCGATGAGTGGTACAAGGGCGTGGTTGCCCGCACTGCTCCTTTTGGTGCTTTTGTGACAGTGACGTTGGACGATGGCGCTTCCGCGGACGGCTTGGTTCACGTGTCAAAGATCAAGGATGGTTTTGTGGACAACGTGGATGATGAGGTGTCCGTTGGTCAAGAAGTGAAAGTGAGGATTGAATCAGTCGATTTAGATTCTAACAGAATGAGCCTCTCAATGCGCGAGGGTGGCTTCGGCGCGCCCAGAGCGCCAGCCGATCTTAGTGCATTTGAAAATGTTGAACCTGCCACTTGGCTGAAGGGGAAGGTGGCTCGGATCGCTCCTTTCGGTGCTTTTGTCACCGTTACTGCGCCAGATGGATCCTCCGCAGATGGTTTAGTTCACATCACTCAAATCAGAGATGGCTTCGTCGAAGCCGTTGAGGATGAGCTTTCTGCTGGTCAAGAGGTGGAGGTTCGCGTGGAGTCTGTGGATGCTGACGCTGGCAAGATGGGTTTGTCGATGAAGCCAGTCTGAGCTTGTCAGACGCCTGCTACCCGTCAGGCTGTTGTTTCCACTTCTTTGTCCTGAAGTGCTATGCCATGGCGCAGGTTTGAAGTGCCGGCTGTCAGCGAATAGGGCGGGCCGTTGTGTTCGAGCTGTGCTTCAGCGCAGAATGCTT